TGTTATTTTTGGAAAGAAAAAATCATGCGATCTAAACCCACATATCTGTGCGGCTTTGGCAGAAATTCGATCTGAATGAGGCGATAATACAAGCTTATTCGTGTAAGTTAGACCCAATTCCTTTATCGTAGATCATTCTAACAGTGGACTATTTTGAAAGATAATGGGTCCAAAAAACACAAGACAAAATTGGTGAAACACCTGCATTCATTCAACATGAAACTACATTTGGATGGAGAAAACGCCATCTGCCATGTGGCGCTCCAACTTGAGAGGGTTGACTTTATCAACGCAATTACTGGCCGTGTCCTTAGAAAAGGAGTATATGCATTTGAGATCATCAGCATAAATGGCATTTTCAGAGTTATTTAACACTGTTGAAATTTTATTTATGTAAAGAATGACAGCCAGGACGCAATGCTCTGAGCTTATGAGCACTATTTAGCAATATCAATCGTCAAATACGACAAAGAAGTAATCAATTTTTTGGTTGTTCCCGAAACGTCTCCGATTCTTGCGACAGCTGGAATTAATAGCAATTGAATGTCAATGAAATGCAAGCTCATTTCTAGGAACTTAATTCACCGTTTAAAAGTAGGTTTGGGTGGTTAAATGATATATATACAAATAAAAATGAAACAAAAAAACAGTGTGGAAATAGTGTCGTTTAAACAGCAAATTCGATTTTTTTACGCGCTGTTTACGTTAAGAATTGCTCAGTTGATCGCGCGGTGCAAAACGCGATCCTATGCCGGAGAAGGTAAGTAACTGATCCCTTTTTTTCGCTTGTTGACGGATGGTTCTGGAGTTTTTTTAGTCCAGGCACTAGTGGACCGTTTAATTAACGGCAATAGGGATTTCCTGCTTTTGGACATTCAATCCAAAAACCGCTCGGCTGTCAGCACCACAAATAAATTGAAAAAGGAGTATATCGGACCACTGAGTAACTGTGAATAAGTTTTCCCTATAGATAACATCCTTTAGTTGACCCTACGATGTAGCGGCCGAACTGACTGGGGGTAGGAGATTAAAGGTATAATCCTCAGGTAGGTTACCAGCTGGAGTGGACTGTACCGCGATAGGTCGATAAGAGTCAGAGAAAGGGTTGGTCTGAGAGGAGTCTGCCGGATAGAAAGAGTCCTGGGAAGAAACTTCGGATCGTACACTCTCCGACGGCGAGGTGTTCTGAAAAAGGGGAGTAGTCTCTCATGCTTCATCGAGCAAACGGGCGAATCCTGGACCATCAAATCCATCAGACACACCGTGGTGATTCATTATGATAGGAATTCAGTGGTAATAGTGGAACAGGGCTACGTAACGGAAAATGGTATAGAGAAATCTAACTGTAAACGGGAAATACAAAATAGTATCTCAGAATCTGATAGGCATGCGAAAAGGGTACGAACTAGAACTACAAGGAGATACAGATAGGCAAAGTAGGATGAATTACAACTCAAAAATGGAAAGTAGAGGGCCGAATAGGGTAGACTTATCAGTGTCGAAGATGGCGTCAACAGCACGCTGAATCCTGAAAGATCAAAAAGCGCGGGGGCTAGCCCAACAAACGCACCTGGTTCGGTCTGGGTTGCTACACAGCCCCCCGCCTAAAGGGCAGCACTGTCCTTAGTGCTGGTATCGACTATAGGGTAAGCTTTGGTAAGATCTATGGCCACAGGGGGGACCTGGTCAGGGGGGACTATGGTGAGGGAGTCGGTGGAACATGAGGGAAGTGGTCCGTGGTAGTGTTTAAGTTTGTCGAAATAGGCTGTGAAGGGAGGGAGCGAGGGGTGTTCAGCGTTGCAGAGGAAATGAGTAGTAGGTGATTTTATTTGAATGACGGTAAAGGGGCCAGACCATGGGTATTGTAATTTGACGGAGGTGCCGGGGGAGCGGGAGTGCTGGCGGAACATAACGATGCCTCCGATCTCGAAAGGGGTGTCAGAAAGGCGGCGGTCAAAGAAGTTCTTCTGACGTTGTGCCTAGCACGCGGCGTGCGATATTGTGAGACCAGCGGATCGTCTCTCGCAGTTGGCTGGCGTAGGAGTGAGATGTGAGGGAGTCGGGGGTAGGGAGAGGAAAACGGAGATCAGACGGAAGCCGGAGTTCACAACCGGTCCACAGGTAAGGGGGTGTAAACCCAGTCGAGGAATGGATAGATCCGCGATATGCTAGTAGACAAAGCGGGAATTGGACATCCCAGTCTCGGGAATTTTGACCGTATGAGAAAGCAAGGAGTAGATTACGGAGTGTGCGGTTGGTGCGTTCGACGAGGCCGTTGCCCTCAGGGTGGTACGGGGTAGTGCGGGTCTTGTGGATGTCGAGAACCTCGCAGAACTCTTTAAAAGCCTGGGAGTTGAAGTTTTAGAATTTAGAATTTATATTTTTCAGCGCCGGTACGGCACTATCTGTACAACGT